ACTATATTTGGCAAGACTAATATTCAACATACTGTATCTCAGGACCCTGTCTGCTTGACAGGTTGTTATTGTTTAACAAAAAGCAACTCTGTCCACCACAAGCCTCCTGATGTACAAATTTCAAACAGTCAGAATGTTTATTAGATAAAACATTTTACTGAAGTCAACGATGAATAAAAGGAATGAAGAACAAAAAAAAAATATATATGCAAGACTGCATTTCCAAGCAGAAGTTGCGGGCAATCAAGCATCAGAACATAAAGCAGTCTAAAGGAGGGCAAGTAGCTATATAGAAGTAAACAACCTCAAACACATTATAAATGATAAAATTATTATATCTACAACAGTCATTTCAACCATGAATGATGAAAACTCTAGTTTATAATTTCATATTTTTCTATCTTTTCTCAACAAGCAAAGATATCGTACCGCCATATAGAGATGGATCATAAACTGAACAATGCATACACTGATACACATACAAACTTTTTGAAGACTATGTTTAGCCCCCTTTAACAAAACATCTAAAGTTAAACGTTCTACTTCTTGTTTTCGTTTGCTGCCTTTTCTCAGCAACCAAACAGAGTATCACAAGGAAAGGCCAGAGAAATGGGAAATGTGATAAAGGAACAACCAACCAGTCTAGAATATTTGAAAAGAAACTGGATAAGCAAACAGAAAATATAGATAAAACGTCATAATTGAAGAAAATCCAGTCGGAAAGAAGCAGTAATTAAGCAGAAAATGAAGTACAGACCAAATTTGATCAAAAATTAAAACACAAAATATATGACTTACCTTGGTGACAATCTTGAACATAAAGCTGGTAATGTAAATTATAGAAATGCCCAATTGAAATGAAGCAGTTATAAAACAGAACAGAAAGTCAAACCCAGAATCCAATGTTAAACGATTGAAAAATAAATAAATAAAAGAGAAAAAGGATGGTACTTTGCTGACAATCTTGAAGTCGAAACTGTCTACATGGGTAGGAAGCAATCTTTTGAGAACAGCTTTAGCTGCAGCTTCTTGAACTGAAGCAGACGACCGTTTGGAGTCGAGACGACGCAGCAAAGCCTCAACTGCTTCTGGTTCTGATAGAGCTACTATTGGTACAAGTACAAGAATCACAATCAGCAACTGGGTTTTGAAATTGGGCATGGTTTGGTTGCTCTGGTTGTGCTTCAGAGGATAGAGTGGGTGATAAACGGCTCAATTTTGTAAAATTTCATTTTGGTTGCCAAAACCAGAGTAATTTATTGATGTCCATGAATGTACTGCCTAAACTCTACATTCACTCTTCAGAATCAACTCTACTGATTACATAAGATTTCTTTTAGTCAATATTTTATGCTTCAGCTAACACGGATCATCGTTTATTACAAGGCTCCTTTTGTTTTTTCTTTGTTTCCACGTGGAGGTTTCATGCTGACAGTATTACATAACTTTTTTCAGTGTGTAATTTCTCTCTTCTTTTTGTTTTTTTTTTCCGTCCATTTTCTTAAAATAAATTTTTAGTGTGGTGGTTAAGTAGTTATGTAGTTTTATTAGGGTTGATAGATACGTTATGTATGATGACAATAATAAATAGGGACATTTTGGAAAAAGCAAAAGGAGATAGAAAAATTTTAAAAGAAGCAAAAATAGACAAAAATGCCCTTATTTATTTCTAGATTTCCTAAAGAATCCAATACATTTGCATGTCTTTGATTTGAAAGTTGAGCGATTTTTTTGTCTTTTTTGAAAAAGCTTTGGCTTTTTTCAAAAGTGAAAATTTTTTTATGTCTAAAACCTAAAAAACCTTAATAAATATACGTATTATAACATGAGTGAAATGGTAACATAACGTGATAATGTGACTATGACACTGAAAGACTTCTCTTTTTTTTCTTTTTTTTCTTCATAGTTTCTCATTAAAAGCTTCGATTCTTTTTTTACTTAAAGTGACATTAGAGATTTTGAAGAGCATTCTTTTGGAATTTTAAATCTATTTTCAATAATTATATTCACACCCTTCTATTGGGGCAATTGGAGTTGAAAGCTTGTTAGTGTTGACCTCAAAATCTAACCGCTCCACTCGGTTACTGCCATGCCCTCTCGTGGGTCCAAGAGGGAAAATTTCACGTATAAACAGTTAGGATTGTTGATCTTGAAAATTTGGGTTTCTTTTTAGTGAAAATTGTCTTCATCTACTTCTAAAGTGTTCAATTCCAAAGATGAGAAATAAGAGATTAGAGTTAAGAGACACACAAGAGTAAAGGCAAATGAGAAAGAAGAACAAAAGTTGTGGAACAATTTCAAGATAGCCATTACCTAACTGAGAAAAATTAAGTATTAGACATAATTATCCTTATTAATTAGTATTTAAGACAAACAGTATTTTTGTTTTGGTTTTAATACCTAAGAATTGAATTTTGTTTTGGATTTGACCAAGAGGCCCAAATTCATTGGTCCACTTTACATTAATAACTGAAAGGACAATTATACCGTTTTTGTTTAAAAGCCTGACCCAAATTCGTTGTTCTCTCTCTCTCTCTCTCTCTCTCTCTCTCTCTCTCTCTCTCCACAGAAAATGATATGTGATCATCGATCCAAGATCGAGAGACCAATCTACGATGGAATTCTCAAGCTGCTTGACTAGGGGCTCATCTCTTCGGCATTCACCGGCAACTCCAAGGTCTTCTAGCTCAAGATGAAGGGCATTACGATTGCTATCTTGCTGAGTTCAAGATCTATTGACTTGCAGCTCATCCCTTTGGATAACAACGATTGGAACATCCAAGGTTCCAATTGTGATATTATTTTCATATTAGACTTCACATCAATATTTTGTCAAGCCCTGATAATCTTCTAACTTGTGTTTTTCTCTCTATTTGTGAAGCTTATGAAATTTGTTATTTTAAGAAATATCGAACTGATATGGGTGCACATTTAACTACTGATGTTACTTTTGTATAATTTTTTATTTCTACTTAATTTTAGTCCTGTTTATAGTTGGTGTTTTCTATCCCTTCAACATGTTCACATCACACCTTTTAATGAGATTATCCTTTTCTTTGGCCAGTAATGGCTATTCATTGCTATGATAAGTAGGACTCTTAAAGTGTATCTTTGGGTACAGTTATATATGAACTATCACTTCCTCTTCCAATTTGCTGTCATTTCTTTTAAGTGAAAGTGGCTTCCCAATTGGTCATTTGTTTCTATGAATTGCTTATTAATTTTTTATGTAACCTTCAGGTCAGATTTTGCACGTTTGAATTTTCAAGGTTTTTACGCTGCAGTCTTGGCTCTTGGAGAAAGATGATGCGTTGAGGTTAAGGTTCGAGTCCCTTTTGTTTAACCGTTGATTGTTTATATAAATATTGTATAACTGAATAAATATTACAAAATCAAGTTTGGTGTAGTGGTTTGTGATTTAGCCTTCCTCCTTTGAGGTCAAGGTTTGAGTCCTTCAATCAATAAACTTTTTTTTTTTTTTTTTTTTTTTTTTTTGAATAAATGGCAACGGAGTTGGTCCCTTGCAGAAGGTGGCAGGCTGGGGATGGGCGGTGGCGGCCAACGGGGGTGGTGGGTGGTGGTTGGCTAGAAATGGACATGTGGCATAGTATGCTTGCCTTAGAAGGAGTGACATTGTGTGTAATTTTGATATTTTTGTAAAATTAAGTACTACATTTTGGTCTTTGGTCTTTGGCCTTTGGCCTTATGCTAATTAGATGAAATTGTATTCCTATCTTCCAAATTAGTAAACTATATTGTGTTTTAAAACTAAAGCTCCCTACTAACTAAAACATATTATTCGACAATGAAGCAAAGCCGAATCAAGCAAGTTCCTTTCATGAAAATAAAAATTCATTCATATTTAGTACAAGTACTTTTGTGTTGAAGAAGTGTAAAATTCCTATTTATTCATGGTGTGCGCAGTTGTCGTAGCAGGTTGGTATGTAGTCATTTACTTGAGCTGAAATATTTGTCAAATAAGAATGGCCAAGCTTCTTTATAAACAAAACAAAGAAATTTATATTCATCATATGCATACGATGAGTGATTTTTCTCAATTTAAAGGGATTGGTAGCCTTGCAAGAAAAATAGTGGAGAAATGATTACATAGAACATTTAATTATGTTTATTTGCTTCTCACATTAGCCTTAACTTTACCAGTTGCAACAGTTTCTGTGGATAATTGTAATGTGGTTTTTTTATTATTAATTATGAATTATAATATTATTGTCTTATTTTTTTGGGTCTATTTTGTATATAATTTTTTTAACCTTTTAGACATTGACCCTTAAAAGGAAAATTCTTGAATCTATCACTGATTATAGTTAATTACGAACACTTAACTCACGTTTGCTCGAAATGATGTGGTTTACTAAAGAGTAATTTGGGTTGTTTGTTTTAGTTTTCCCCTTGAGTTCATAAAAAGAATAAAACAAAAGAACTCTTCAGTTATGAAGAGGGGTTACAAATTTCCCATACTTATTCCTTTTCTTTTGCCTTCAACCATGGACCAGTTCCTCCATTTGCGTTGAAAAGACTCAATAATTTGAGTCAAGAGGCGCGCTGTAACTTGCCTTTTACGAATACGAAGCAAGAAAAAGACCCGTCCTCGTCAACCAAAGAAAAAGGAAGTTTCCAGACAGGCTCCCTCGCCACGTGGCCTCTCTTTATGGATTAAGAATCTTTGTAATATTGGTAACAAAAACAAAAACAAAAATCCATGAATTAAAAGCTTATTTATTTATTTAATATACTTTCCAAGAAAGGCAACTCAATTCACACTGTGTGGGTTCTAAAAAAACCCCTCATTTATTTCTTAATTCTTGTTACTCTTCTTTTTTCTAATCACGTCTTAATTTCGACAGAAAAAGGTCACGTCTTAATTCTTTGGTCTTCGTCTCCATTTATACGTCTCTCTCTCCCTAAATTCTCAGAGAAACCTCTCTCTCTCCCCCTAAATTCTCAGAAAATTCTCAGAGAAACCTCTGTGAAACCCTAACATGGCACTGCCCTCGGCTCCAGACGCTGACCATAACTCGGCTAATCTGGATCATGGCGATTTCAAATTCAATGCGGAGTTGGACGGCCTGGCGATCCCTCCTCTCGACCCACAGTTTTTCTCATCGGACGACGGCATGGCCACCGTGCCGTCCGATACGTTCATGTCCGATCTCGGATTTGGGTTCGGTTCCGATGACAATTGCGACTACGAGCTCACCTTCGACGACTTGGACAACCTCTACCTCCCATCGGAAGCCGATGACTTCCTCATCCCCGACGGCTTAGATCCCGGCGGTACTGCGTTGAATTCGGGGTCTCCTGAATCGGGTAGCTCCGCAATATCAATTTCCGGCGATGTTAAGGGGGGTTCCGATGTCTCCGGATTTCTGAATTGTCCCTCATCAAACGAGTCTTCTGAAAATTCCAATGGGCCTGAGAATTCCGGCGGGCCTGAGAATTCCGGTGGGGCTGTGTCGTCTCAGGGCTCTGGGATTTCGGAGGCAGTTAACTCCACTTGGCATTCTGGAAATTCGGGTAATTCTGTTTCGTCCAATGCCATTTCTGATGCGGATGATGAGAAGGTTAAGATGGAGGACGAAATTGTGAAAAATTGCCTTGTGAAAAGGAAGAAAGTGAGTGACGAAGGCAACGTGGAGTCGAGAAGTGCCAAATATCGGAGGTCAGACAACAACAACGCTTCTGTGGATGCGAATGCGAATGGGAATGATGAGGAAGAGAAGAGAAAGGCCAGGTTGATGAGGAACAGAGAGAGTGCTCAGCTTTCTAGGCAGAGGAAGAAGCATTATGTCGAGGAGCTTGAGGATAAGGTGAGGGCAATGCATTCCACTATTGCTGATTTGAATACTAGGATTTCATATGTTATGGCCGAAAATGCCACCTTGAAGCAGCAATTGTGCAGTGGTAGCGGCGCCATGTGCCCACCACCACCACATGCAGGGATGCACCCTCATCCGCCCATGCCACCAATGGCTTATCCATGGATGCCCTATTCGCCCTATGTTGTGAAGCCACAAGGGTCCCAGGGCCTTTTGGTACCCATTCCTCGATTAAAATCCCAGCAGCCAGTGGCTGCGCCCAAGTCCAAAAAGTCAGAAACTAAGAAGACTGAGGGTAAAACTAAGAAGGTTGCTAGCATTAGTTTTCTGGGTCTGTTGTTTTTTATCTTGCTTTTTGGTGGACTTGTTCCTATGGTGAATGTTTATTTTGGTGGTGTAACGGACAGAGGTCCTGGTGGGTCTGCCTACGTTAGTGATAGGTTCTATGATAAAAACAGAGTGAGGGTTCTAACAGTTCATAGTAATTTGAATGGATCTGAAGAAAATATAGGTTCAGGAATATCTGGGGGGAAATTTGATATCTCTAACAAAATTCATCATGAGAGGGGTCATATGCGGAAAGAAAAGGAATGTGGGCAGAAAGAACAAGGGTCACAACCAATACCGGTTTGTGATGAATTTGTTCGTCTGGGAAATACTAGTGGCGAGCCACTTGTTGCTTCTTTGTATGTTCCAAGAAATGATAGGCTTGTCAAGATTGATGGAAACTTGATTATTCATTCGGTCCTGGCCAGTGAGAAAGCCATGGCATCCCATGGGCATTCTGAAAAGAAAAATAGTAGGGAGACTGGTTTGGCTGTGGCTAAAGATTTAGTTTCAGCATTAGCTATTCCTGAAGCTGGAGGCAACAGAGGGAGAGTTTCTCCCTTATACAGAAATTCTGCTGGGCCACACAAGGCCCTTACAGCTGGTTCAACTGATGTTTCGAAGGACCATAAGAAGTCAACTGCAGCTGATGGTAAACTGCAACAGTGGTTCCGTGAAGGTCTTGCAGGTAATTATATTGCGTCTGGTGTCTCTGGTACTTTAGATTGTACTTAGTGCATGCCTAACACATTTATGATTTGTTTGCTTTCTTGACAAATTTACATTCATCTTTGATTAGATCAAGTAGCTATTATCACTGATGAGGGCTAATAGTTGTGTAGCTGAGTCTGGTGACAGACTTTGAACTCTATAGGTGGTCGGTAGTAAGTGCAATCATGGGAGTAACGGAATATTACTTGGTTTGAGGCTTTGTAAAATGAACCTTTTAGTTCAACCAAAAAAATTGAACCTTTTCTTTTGGTTTTTTTGCAAGGTACATGAACTTTGAAATTAGTAAAATCGACTTTGTTTGTAGTATAATTAAAATATTTTGTGAGGCTATGAGCTAGTTGATATAATCAAGTATATTGTTATAAAGTGGAAGTTGGCCTTTGATGTTTAGCTTCAAGTACTACTCCCAAAGACTACTAAAATACCAAAAAACTTGTGAGAATCTCATTAAAAACTAAAGAAATTAAATAGCACAGCAACATCTCATTGAATAGTAAGAGCTGTACCTTCCTACGACCCAAATAACTGCTCCTAATAAGACTTGACATAAAATCTTAGATTGACACTTAACTTACATGTTTATTTATTTTTATTGGCTGACTATCATGGCCATTTCATTTTAAGACGAATTTAGCCTTATTGTTACATTTTGGCCAATGGGCTTAATCTTTGGCTTCCAAAATATTTCTTTTCTAACCAAGCTGTGGCCAGCATCACTTCGGTCAATTAATACATATGTATATCTTTATAATTTGTGAGTATTAATGTTTTGAGGAGCCAATTCCATTTTTAATGATTGTATATTTCTCTCGAATTATTTGGTTTTCTTCTCTTTAATATTTCACTGATGCACATGTTTTCATAATAGGAATTTTGAACTTGCAAATGATTTTGATTTTTCCAGTCAATGGTTAGTATTGAGTAGTATTTATATGGAATAAATAAATTCTTAGTTTCACAGGTTGGAGGATGAACTGTATGTTTTTTTCAAGATAATCTGGAGGATTTATTTGTAAACTGCAGGATGCATTGATATATGACTTTGCATCTGTTGCTTGCTTCTAGTGTCCTTTTATGTTTCATTTTGGTTTGTAGATTTACCGTCCATTGTCCTTCCTTTATTGTTGCTCATATCAAGCATTTCGTTACAAACTTCATTATTGATTTCATATATATTATGCAGGACCAATGTTGAGTTCGGGAATGTGCACTGAAGTGTTCCAGTTCGATGTCTCTGCCGCTTCCCCGTCAGGAGGTATAATTCCTGCATCTTCAGTTTCCAATGTTTCTGAACACCGTCAGAATACTACAGAGCTTAACAGGGGAAGGAATAGGAGGATCCTCCGTGGTCTCGCAATTCCCCTTGCTGGATCCAATCATAATGTTACTGAAGAAAATGTGACAAGAAATCCACCAAACAACAGCCTGCCTAGTAATAGATCTGTATCTTCTTCCATGGTTGTCTCTGTTCTTGTTGATCCTAGAGAGGCTGGTGATATTGATGTGGATGGCATGATCAAACCGAAATCACTTTCCCGCATTTTCGTTGTGGTGCTTTTAGACAGTGTGAAGTATGTCACCTACTCATGCGTGCTCCCTCGATCTGGTCCTCACCTTGTGACTACTTGAACATGGAGAATTGGTTTCGGAGTTTAAGATGACAACTACATCTAATTTTAGAAGCTCCCAGTTTTGTATATAACAGAAGAATTAACTGCTCCTATGAGATCGTTAACTTCCTTTGGGAGGTTGGATTGTATGCCTTTGTTGTGGTAGAAAACAATGTTTCAAATAACTGTATCATTAGTGATAGTGTGTGCGTATGGTTCTGTGCGCCTGAAAACCCTAAACAGACATTTTAATGACATTTTGTGTTCTTTTTTAAACGGCCTGGGATCAGGGAGTGACTATGTTATGTATGCAGCGCTATATTCATGATGGACGGTGATCAAATTTTGCTTATTTTATAACAAGGGGTGAAAAGTAGCCTAAAATAAAATCCGTGTTTTCCTGCAGTGTCTGTTGCCTGAAGCAAATAGTTAGTTTCAAATTGTTTGGCAGTGCCAATTTCATCTGCACTGTGCAAGTGTAGGCGGACGCACACACGCACATTCTCTGTGTTTTTTTTTGGGTCGAAAACAGAAACACATTCTGTTATAAACTCAACCATTGTTTTGTTTTGTTTTTTCAAACGTTTTTGAATAGATTGTTTGACGTTTGAATCTTACTTGTGGTTCTTCAGGCCGTTTTCTTCGGTTCCCCTTGGTCTCTGAAAGAGTCTAGAAAAGTGGTAGTTAGAGACCCAATGTGGAGACCAGCATTGTAATTTGTTTATCTTTAATCCTTGTTTGAAGTTTGAATAGGAAAGGATTTTTGTTCCGAACCACCTCTGAGCTCAAAGTTCGTTTTTTCCCCTTTCTTCTTATTCTTATTTCCTTTTGTTTTTTCAGAGGGTATGTACACAAATGTTTGATTTCTTGAATTTTAAATGGACATTGCTTCCTTCCTTACTTGGAAGGAGACATTCATACTTCCTGCAAATCATAATTTGATACATATGCAAAAATAATTTATTAAAAACACAAAAAAAAAAAAAATAATAAATAAAATTCTCTACACATATGTCAACAACCACATCATTGAGATGGAATCTGCCACTGCCATTAATTTATTGCAAAAGCCCACTCTCAAAGAAAGGAATTCTGCTCCAAATAAACTTGCTAATTAGGGTTATGACTTAGCTTTGAGAGGTTGCATTCTCGATGAGACTCCTACTAGGATGGGAAATATCCTTCTTGATGATCTGTTGGGGATCGCTAGACCCGCTTGATTCTTGGTGTTTAGCTTTACTTGTTGTTTGGGGCGTTTAGCCCCCTTCTATCACCAAAAAAAATTAAAAAATTAAAAATTCTACACACATGTCAAACTGTAATTGGTAGGAAAGTAGGAGTTCCTACTTTCAGGGAACAAGGCAAGTATTTTCCTTTAAAAGTATAAATTAAGGGACATGTTATTGGCACCCTAAAAACAATAATCATTCCCTCCTCCCTTACAAAAACATAAGAGAGAAATTACACCTAAATAAGTGCATAATAATTTTTTTGGAGTGGCCATAACAGTTCTTTAAGTTAAAATGTACAAGCGATTTGGAACTTTCAAGCTTTCTTTAGGTTCCATTTGGTGTTTGAGTTTCTTTTCATCTTTGGCCATTTGGAACTTTCAATCTTTCATGCGTGCAAGCTTGATATTGATAAAATCCCGTTCTGCATTACCAAGCTTCAAGAAAACAAATCATCTTCCGAGCATAAGATCTGATTCCAACCATTAAAAGGTATTTTATGAATAACGATAGGTGGAAAGATATGATTGTGTTTTTTTCAAATTTACATGGTGGGTGGGTAAATAGGACAGAGGGTGTAAATAGCAGCTCTCAATTTCTTAATAATTAAATTACTAAAATACCCATGTCACGTTAGCAATTTAACGATGTTAGAGCATGTGCAACGCCAAGGACTTGCCCTGGCAACATGCCCCACACCCCCTCCCCCCCTCCCCCCCAAGCGAAGTTTGGACCTCAGCGCGCAAAAGGCAACCCATGCAAGGCATGGGACCCACTAGCCCAGGCAAGCCCATAGGCAAAAATGGACTGGGCTGTTGCCCTCAGGCTGCTAACGTTAGCGCCTAATTTTCAAAATTTTTTTAATTGTTGGCGAGTGGAATACATGCACCAATAATAATAAAAAATTAAAAATCAGTTGCGAATGTCAGTGCTGACCCACCAGCCCACATAGCCTAACGGCTATAAGCCATGTGGCTTCTCCTGGAGCCTTCGATCAAAAAATCCTACCCAATCCAACAGTTGTCCAATTTTTGGCTAAAATAAATTGAAAAAAAAAAATCAAAAAAATCTGGATATTTTTTCTATAAACACCTACCAATATTATTCACTTTCCACACCAAATCTTCATATAAATTCATCTCCTTCCAATGTTTTTCACTTTCCACACCAAAATTTCTACTACAAAATTCCATTTATGCAAAAATACAAATGGTCTCTTCCATCAAAGCCGGAGGGTCGTGGACAAACGTTCGAAGAGGTCAAAATCTTGGCGACGAGGTAAAAAAAAATTAATTGCAGTTTTATTCAATTTAATGTCATTATATGTTTATATATATATATTTCTTACATTTCCAATTTCATTTTTCTAAATAGATTATTCAAGGGAAAACAAAAAAGAGGAAAACCATTACACATGGCTCCTCAAGTGAACAATGCCCGCAGTCAGTTCCAGTGGTGCGTTCCGTGTCAGAAATAATGGCACTATTACTTCCTCCGAAGGAAAATACTTTCCCACGCCGTGATCCGGTGGAACCGCCTCTGCTAATGATTGAGTCGTCCTTGTACGCCATTGTGTCAGACTATAAGGATCGGGAGTATTTTCAATTGTATGATGAGTGAGTAGGTATTTCAATTATATGATGAGTGAGATGTGAATTTTATAATAAATATGGACACGTGGCAACCGAAAATCTTATCCGAAAATTTAAAATGAAAATTTATTAATAAATGTTATCTGAATTTTTAGGTGAGAATTTTATAATAAATATTGACACGTGGCAACCGAAAATCTTATCCAAAAAGCTTATCGAAATTAATGGTTTAAGTATAAAACAATAGAAAATAAAGTAAAGTGAATAGTGTTTGCCCTTGATATTGCCCTTTGGGGTGGAACCAAAAAAGGCAAGGTTGCCACTATCCCCGTGAATAGTGTCAAACCTTGCTTTGCCTTTGCCTTACCCTTGTCTTTTTGGGGTGGAGGTGCTCTTACTGAGAAAATTGACCGAATAGGTGAACGTGGGACACAAATGAAAGCACATAGAGCACATTGACCCAGTTAAAAATGTAAAAGACAAATTAAGATTTTCGGTAAATTTTATGGGGCATATTAATAAATAAGCCAATTATTTTTGCTCATTTGTGAAAGGGACAGCAAGCAAATGGCATTATTAATACGGGCAAGGAAGGCTTTTTTATAAAAAAAATTTAAATTTATTCTAGAATTAAAAAAAATAATGGGTTGTTGTATTCCATAAAAATAAGATTCATTATGTGAATTTTCTTTTAATTTAATTTTTTTTAAATATGAAAAAGTGTGAATTTACCATATTATCTTCATTCAATTAATAATTTCAATTCTTAATATTTGCATTATCATTAAACTGGTTAAGTTTCTTCTTTTAATCTGAGCCACAAAATTCATCCAACGGCTACTAAGGCCCTCCCGCATCTCTCCCTCCTCAACTTAACGTCCCGCGCGTTAGAGAAAATCAGTACGACTAAAACCCTAACAAACCCATTTGTAGCATAAACCCTAAAACCCTCGTCCCCAATTTACTCGCAGAGCCCAAACCAAAATACTAACCCCTGAAATCTCAATTGTATAGAAGATTAAGTTTTGAATTTGAGAGTTCAGAAGCAATGACCATGGAGGTGGAACCAGAGGGGAAGAATGTGATGTGCCTTCTGACGGACCCAGAAGGGACGCCATTGGGAAATTCCGTGTACCTTCCCCAAAACACCGGCCCGCAACACCTTCAACAAATCGTCAATCAGCTTCTCAACAACGTATGCTCATTTTCAGCTCTTCTTTGTAAAATTTTGTCTCTTTAACTGCTTTTTTTGGTTGTTGAAAAATTCGGCTATATTGAATTTAGTTTTTTGATTTAGTTAAAATTTCTGTATTACACCTTAGGTTCCATTTGAAGAAAACACTTCCCCTCAAACCTATAAAAAAGAGAAAAAAAAGAGAACTATGACTTTTTTCTTCTTCTTCTTATTGTGAAGTTTTCGAATTCACCTGATTAAAGCTGTAGAATGTCAGTTAGTAAATTACTAAGACAAATTGAAAGACAATTTTTTTTTTTATTTTTTTTTTTTTTTTTTTTTTTTTTTTTTTTTTTTTTTTTTTTTTTTGGGAATGATAGAAAATGATAGGATTGTATTGGATTTTGATTGTAGTTTTGTTGCTGTTGTTGTTGTAAAGAACTTTTCTTTTAGAAGAAAATGTGACATAGACACATGCGTCATTTATAAGTGATGCAGGCATCCTCAAGAATTACAGATTTATGGGTTCGTTTCGTATAATACAAAATATATTAGCAGCAATGATTTATGGCAATTGTTGTGGATCCTGCTTCTTAGTGTGGTGGTTTTACAAGCTCGCATAAGTAGTGACGTCTGCATTTTGTGTTTGTTCAGGAGGACAAGCTGCCTTATGCTTTCTATATATCAGATCAGGAACTGCTTGAGTCACTTGGAAAATATTCGGAGAAGAATAAAAGTTAGTTAAATCATGACAGAAGTATCAGTTAACATTTCATCTTCCATAATTGTGTATATCTTAAACAATTTTGACAACTAAAGATTTTGGGCTGCTTTTTCATTTCATACACTTTTCTGATGAAAACCTTGGCAGTTTCTGTTGAGAAGGTACTGAAAATAGTTTATCAACCACAAGCTATTTTCCGAATTCGTCCTGTTCATCGGTGCTCGGCAACAATTGCTGGTATGGGTGTTTCTCTCCTATCCATGTCACACTAAGGACGTATTTATTGCTAAATAGCATGGCTTTTTCTTTTTAAATACACTCCCTCTTACCCCCCACCTCCCAATTTTAGTTTGTAATTTTATGATTGTAATATTTTAACATTAATGGTTTCATTTTTTTGTCTTTCTTTTTCAAAAATTTTCTTTGGACAAGTGTTTGTGATATATGTTATTCTAATGTTCAGAGCTCTCTGAACCGAATAATTTTTTAGGCTTCATAATGGACCTGATTAATTGTTTTTTTGTGGTCAACCTTTCTCCAGATTGACTCACTAAATGCCAATTTTTGTTACTAATGTGCAGCTTGAATTTTATTTTGTTTATTATTGAATCAAAGCTATTGTTTTGTCATTGCAGGTCACAATGAAGCTGTACTTTCAGTTGCTTTTAGTCCTGATGGCCGACAGTTGGCGAGTGGTTCTGGTGATACCACTGTCCGACTATGGGACCTTGGTACTCAGACACCGTTGTACACATGTACAGGTTTGGAGTCTGAGTTTCATATCACATTCCTAGTTTTGTACCTTTTGAACTTTTGTACAATGTGAAAACTAATATAAGACAGCAGAAAAATTTTGTGTATCAAAATACGAAAAAAGAAAAGGAAATTACATATAACTTGGATATTTGAGAAAATATTTTCCTGGATTACTGTAGTGACTAGGGATGGATAATGATTTTTTTTTTAGCAGTATGGATAATGATTTTTATTTTATTTTTAAAAAGTAGGATGGATAATGAAATTAATTATTTTTATTTTAAGGTTTTGTCACATAGACCATATTAGATGGGGAATTTTACATCCTGTGGGTTCTTAGGGTGAAAGCAGACTTATGCTTGCTGTGGTGTGCTGCATAATAAGTGAGAATAAAGTTATTTCAACTTTTTGTCATTTTAAACTTTTTTCTTTGATGATTCACATTTAAAAATACTTTATTATAATGTAGAAATCATCCTCATCGTTATTACCTTTCTATTATTTGCACAATGACAGTACACCTTATTTTATTCAGGACATAAGAATTGGGTCCTTTGCATTGCATGGTCACCTGATGGTAAACATCTTGTTAGTGGGAGTAAAGCCGGGGAACTCCAATGTTGGGATCCACAGACTGGGAAGCCATCAGGCAATCCGCTTATAGTAAAGTTTCTATACTTCAATCACTGGTCATTTTAAATTTCTCAGTTGATTGCTACATATTGTAATTTGTTGTTTCTGACACATATGAGGACACACCTCTTCTATTTTGTTGTTTTCGTGGATATTTGGTTGATGAAATATTATTCCATTAATTTTTTAGGGCCATAAGAAATGGATTACTGGAATCTCTTGGGAACCAGTCCACCTGAACTCTCCCTGTCGACGCTTTGTAAGTGCTAGCAAAGATGGTGATGCACGCATATGGGACGTTACATTGAGGAAATCTGTTATATGTCTTAGTGGCCACACACTTGCAGTGACGTGTGTAAAATGGGGGGGAGATGGTGTTATATATACAGGGTATGCTTTTTCTTAGTTATTGCAATGATAATGAAACAAATTTATTTATTTATTTATTTTAATGAAAAAAGGAAATTGTTATGAGCACTCACTAGTCATTTCAACTTATGTTGAAATCTATTTACACCATATTCCCTCGTGTTGTAAGAAAACCCTCCAATTGGTTTTAATTCATGATCTCGTTACTTAGAAATGAAAGAGAAATAATTGGATGAGTCAATTGAACAGATTATTGAACTTGTTCATTTGAAAAGGATTCTCGGGTCAAGATTTCTGAGATAACAGTACTACTAGCTCATGTAGTTTTGAACACATTATTGAGCTGAAGTTCTCTACAGATTTATAACAAATATCTCCATCTTAACTGTCACAGGTCCCAGGATTGTACTATCAAAGTCTGGGAGACTACACAGGGGAAGCTAATTCGTGAACTTAAGGTAAGTAAGACACAGCTTTTGGTTCATGGTTAGTTCAGTTACTATGATTTATGCTTCATTACTTGGTCGCTTTTGTAAATATGCAATTTTGTTATTGTGAATACCTAATTTATTTTCCTCTCCAGGCAGGGGTTTGGTGTAGTCTCATGTCAATAGAATTCTTTCCGTACCCTTTAAATTATTTCTCTATGCTTTATGTTGATCTCGAGATTTGTTGATTTGATTTGGTTCTTGTATTAGATATTGCTGAGTGCTTAACTGAATTCTATAGGTTTTCTTGAGGATTTCAATAATAATATATTTCCCTCTCTTCTTTCAGACCTTGTTTCATGAATTTCTTATAGAATGAACTGTTGTCTGTGTCCTTTCTGTATTAGCTATTGTCTATCTTTTTATTTATTAATATTCAAATTTCGAATACTAAATCATGATTTTGTAATTTAGTTATTCTGTTATTTGTTTGTTTCCTATTGTTTTTAATCAATATGATCAGAAATATGCTTATCTCGTGTAATTTAGTATGGCTTGTCTATGGTTTGTTGGTTGTGTTAGATAAGTGCTTCTTGATTGAAGTCTAGTGATTTTTTTTGAGGATTTCAATTATAATCTTTTCCCTCCCGTCTTTCAGACCTTATTTTATGATGGTTTATAGGCTGTTATTCATGATGTTTCCTTTAAAGGTTTTCAGATTTCTTTTATAAGGAACTGTTGTGTGTGTCATGTCTGTGTTAGCTATTCACTGTCTTTCTTAATAATAATTCAAGCTTCGAATTCTAGATCATGATTTTGTAATTCATTGTTCTGTTGTTTTTCTTTTTAATCAGTTATGGTCAGAGATATGCTTATCTTGTCTAATTTAATACTCCTTGTCAATGGCGCTTGTTGAAATTAATTTGTTGATGCTCATGTATCTTGTTTATCAATATTTTACATTTCATGATCTTGATATCTTTATATTATACGGTTTAGGGTCATGGTCATTGGGTTAACTCTCTTGCATTGAGTACTGAATATGTTCTTCGTACTGGAGCCTTTGATCACACCTGCAAGCAATATTCATCTCCAGAGGAAATGAAGAAGGTATGAATTCCTTCACAAACATTACATTTTGTTTTTAAATTGTAATTCATTTTATGTGCATCAATGCCATCCAATTTTTGTTGTGCCTACTGTAGTTCCTTTTGTTTTTTTGTTTGGTTGGGGGGCGGCGGGGTGTGTTTGGGTGAGTGTTATTTGCTGTTGAGGGAAAGGCTTCAGGTTTGGTTGTCTAGATCATATCTGTTCGTTTTTGTAATGCAGATAGTGTATTGTTGTATCTGGTGGTGTTTGGTTTCTTCGAGTCTTATCTTGAGTATAGTTTTTTAAAAATGTTTTCTTTTGGTCTCCATTGTTTCATTCTTCTTTGATTGGGAACTGCAAATTCTTGACCTTCGATTGAAGAGTTGTTAAGCTGGAATAGCAGTGTTGAAGAAGTGTGTATTGTGGATTTTTAAGATGCTGATTCTTTCAGAACTCACTAAGCTTGAATAAAGTTTTCTTTTTATGCTTTTATTTTGCATGCTTGTAATTACTTTGGGTGCCACACATCCGTGTTGTGATTAAGTTACAGTTAGCTGGCTAAGAGGAAAATGTCTCCTGATATGATTATCTGTCTATCTATCTATCTCTCTCCCTCTCTCTCTCTCCCCGCTACTTTACCCAACTGTTTGTATTGTTTTGTGACAATAGTTTAGTGGCTATTTCTGGGAAGATTTACCTGCATAACATTTTTCCTCTTTTTCCCTTCCAAGGAACTAATTATATTTTCATTTACTGACATATAGGTAGCCTTGGAAAGGTATAACAAAATGAAAGGCAATGCCCCTGAAAGATTGGTTTCTGGATCTGATGATTTTACAATGTTTCTATGGGAACCTTTTGTCAGCAAACACCCGAAAACTCGCATGACAGGTCATCAACAGGTAAAATAATTTTTGTAATGCCATGTTCCGTTTTGAATTGCAGTCCAAGTTGTTGATCGTTGTTTTTGAGGCACAGGATTATCTTAGTTTTCCAACTTGTGTTCTTCTGTATCAGTGTGTACTTATGAGTTCTGGCTTAAAATAACAATTGCAACTAAAATTTCCTACATTGCTCCCTTTCTCTTTCTTTCTTTATCGCTCTCTCTCTGTTTCTCTCTCTCTCTCTCTCTCTCTCTCTCTCTCTCTCTATATATATATATATGTATATGTATATGTATATATTTGTCTGTGTATCTATCGTTGTGAGTGAATGCAATGTTTATAAATAAATAAAAACATTTTGGCTGACTTCACACAAAAAAATATTTCTATTTTTCAGAATAAGGTAGTTACCCTTTTGCGTTGTGCAGTGTAATTGTTTGGTTGGAAGATTAATTGGTCAAGTCTTGATGAGATGGAGGAAGCAAATTTTCTTTTGGGGCAAGTAGATGTTTAGCTTCTGTTTGGGTGTTCTCGTCACAGAATTTTAGGGATATTTTATTTAGAATAAAAGTTAGTTTTCTGAAAATAATTGTGGGAGCTTGTTTGGTTACTTTGGTAGCATGTTTTCACAGTTTTCTGTTTTCCATGATTTTAGAACCCAAAACTGTTTTCAAATGAGGAGCCAAAAGGCCCTTTTTTAATTTCTCACTGTTTTTCGCTGCCACTTATACTATGTCATGCCAATCAGCAGAAGGTGTTGATTCCATCTGTTATACTGAGTCTAGTTTGGGTGCAATTCTTAGCCTAATCTTTTATTTCACACTGGATGAACTGATCACCAATTTTCAGATGGCAGCTTGTTTTAATAATATGCATGATTTATCTTCATGGCAGTACCGGTTTTGAACATAGAACTCTGATTAGTGCTTGCTCTTTATGGTTACCGGTTACTCATTTACAATAAGGAGGATATATATAAATAGAGTTCTGGTGTTGTTTGTTCTTTATGTGCTCTCATGTTCATGTTTATGATAAGATGATAGTTGAAGCCAACATATGAAGTTCCAATTTTTATCATTTAAGCTTTATAATGGATGTTTGAAAATGTTTTTTGCCAACAGCTTGTAAACCACGTTTACTTTTCACCTGATGGGCAATGGATAGCAAGTGCCTCATTTGATAGGTCTGTCAAGTTATGGAATGGTACTACAGGAAAATTTGTTGCAGCTTTTCGGGGCCATGTTGGCCCTGTCTACCAGATCAGGTCTGAATTGGAATTATTATTTTTTGGATGATTGCTTATGTTGTGTGGCTAATTATTACATTGCATGTTACCTCACAGCTGGTCCGCAGACAGCAGGCTACTTTTAAGTGGCAGCAAAGATTCCACTCTGAAGGTAAAACATTTACTCAAATGAACTTTTTTATTTTATTTTATAGCGGTGATAAGGGATCTTGACCGAAGGAGTGAGGTTGTTAGATTTCACATTGCAAATGGGGAAAATAATTGAAATGCCATTTCTTTGCATTTTGATAGTTGTATATGTCACCAAAAGAATCATCTCAAATCTTACTAGTGGTTTAAATCTCAGTTTGTATGTAAGCTGTATGAGTTTTCATCTGCATGACATCTAAGTAATTTAAGCTTGTATATCAAGCCTAATATTGTTTCATACATCAGACAAATAAGTATTGTTTTTTTAATTTCCCTAGTCACTTTGCCATTCTAAGACGGATTTCTCAGCTTTGACCAGATATTTTGTGGTTATATACATGGTCATGATGTAAACATTATTGGCAACCTTGATCTTTATTTTCAATTCCCTGATTATTGAATTTTTCATCAAAATATGAACTCCCAGCTTTTGGGAAACTAAATTCAGATTCCCCTTCTTTTTTTTTCTTTTTTTTTCCGTTTTATTGTGTACTTTGCTTGGGGTACTATGCGCTTTTGCTAATGGTAGAATTTCTCGTGGTTGCATCCCTGACCTGTGAATGAAATTTATTTGATCATCTAGGTTTGGGATATCAGGACGCGGAAATTAAAACAAGACCTTCCAGGACATGCAGATGAGGTATGTTTTCCCTTCACCTCAGAGGCAGTTGATCTATTGTTTTACATTTATTGAAGAATGCTTGGGGGAGAATTGTGACGTAGACACATAAGAAAATACCAAAACAGATACCAGTTACAAACTACAGGGAGATGTCAACTAAATCAATTGACGTATTCCTCACATAAAGCAAATGCTAAAGGACTTACGCAAGTCTTCTATTTCTACTCAAACGCGTTTTAGATATTGCATGAATTAGATTACCCCGTGCATACCTGAAAGGCCTGCACTTGTAAACCAGTCTTGCTTTACCTGTCTTGAATATTCACAAAACTATTCACAAAACTCGATAGAAGTAGACACTAGTTCAGCTACTTTGAGGGAACCTAAGTCCTCCAGATTTCTGTCTGATGACCCTTATTATTCATTCAACTTCTTATATAAGGGCATAACAGTTAATTCCACAAATTTATGAAGACAAACAAAATAGATATCCATATCCAAACTTTAGACTATTACTAAATCAATAGACCTTCACTCTAGGCAACGGTTGTACAATTTTTGGATTCTTCTATTTCTAGTTTTTGATCGTGCCCTCTTTGTATTGCCGTATTGTAACCCATTTTTGAAATGTGAATTGTTTTTGAAAGGTTTATGCTGTTGATTGGAGTCCAGATGGTGAGAAGGTAGTTTCTGGTGGCAAGGATAGAGTTTTGAAGTTATGGATGGGCTAGACTAATTGTGGTAGGCCAAAGTATGAGCAACTACATAATGAAAATGTTACATGATGGTGATAATTGAGCATTGAAGTGTTTGGTATGATATACATACAAGTGTACTGCACGACTAAAGGGATATGAACAAGAATTGGGAATTCAAGTATGGGATGTGAACAAGAATTGGGAATTCAAGTATCGGTCACAAGGGTGGTTGAAAGAAAAAGCTCCTGAATCAGCATAAAAGTTTTTTATCCATTGGGGTGTAAGCTTTTCTGCGAGCTGTCTGAGGTGGAATAGCGAGGCAGCCAATTTATGAGTGTGGGTTACTTTTTCTTATTTAGAGTCACGCGGTAAAGTTTTGTTTTGTTCTTTTTAACTTTTATTCATTTTCCTGGTCAAATATCTTATGTCAAATTTTAGTTGGTAATCAGGAAATGTATCCCTGCAACAGATTTCCGCATTTCTTAGCTAAAATAATCCAATTGATGATTGTCATGCCGAATGTGAGGCCGGCTTTTGTTAAAATATTTATGCAAATGAACACATGAATGGTTTTGCACGTTGGCTTAGGGGTTTCAGAACATGGACCAAATCCTGTAAAACAGAAATGAAGTATCATCTCCATCTTGTGTGAATTGAACTGGTCAGTCGTCCCTTGTGTTGCAATGCTCGTCGTAAATTTTAGATTTTTTGTTGGAAATTGGAGCTGTTTTTTGTCATCTCCATTCTGGGGCCTACTCTACAATTTTCATGACGCTGGAAAACCTATAATTGGCTGAAAACTGTGAGCTCTTATGCCTTCTAAAATGGGTAGCGATGACAATGTAAAGCTATTATAGGATAATAAAAATGCTGAGGTACTTGCTACTTCGGCCCTAAAGGGAAAGACAATAAAAGTATGATGTAGTTTCGGGTTTTAATTCATATATATTTTGTTTATTCAACAATGTCATTCATAGAAGGCCGGAAGCTACTACGGAAAGGGCCATTGGAGAGCTTAATTCGCATATGGAAGCAAACAAAGGTTAAATAAAGAAACCATACCCCTACCAACTGGATTTAGCCCATGAAAAATGACATTGACTTGTAGGTCAGTAGTCTCAACTTCGAACTTCCATGATACTTTGATAGTATGTTAAAAAGCCCCTTCTCCATCTGGTTTAGACTATCATCATTTTGAACACGTCAACAAAATTGACACCAAATAAAAACTAATGACATAAGGAACAAAGGCAAACATGGAAAGATAAAAAAGAAAATACACTAACAAAATTGGAAAAATTATATTTCTTTTGTAATGTAAAAACTGACCTTAAAGCGCATGCCAATTAATTTTTTATTATTGAAAATTCTCTTATACATTTTTTAATATAAAATTTGATTGGATTTCATAAAAACTCTACTTAAATTTTTGTTAGACTTCTATTTTTTGTGGGAAAGTAATTTATATGGCTTTCCATTTTCCAAAAAAATTTACTCTTTTTCTTAATGTTTTTATTTTTATTTTCCGATTTCTTAATGTTTTTATTAAGTAAGGATATTTTGTGAAATTTTGCAAAGTGAAAGTACAGAAAGTAATGCGTGGTCCCACTTTTCTAACTTCTAACCCTATCAACAGAAAAGCAGTCTTCACTCCCAAACAAAAGCAAAGGGTTTAAACGCAATCCAAAGGGGAGGGTTTTAGAAACAGCCAACGGTTTCTTGTCTACCCAAAAACCCTAGCCAGTGAATGTAGTTTGTTGAAGCTCAATGCTTCTTCATCACCAATAAAGGGTCATGGCTGCTCTGGCTCACGCCCTTCTCGGCATTCCATCTCGGTGTGGTCTTTGCCGAGCCATTAATCCCAAGGAAGATTTCAAGGTCTGCGCTTGGGGGTTTTCCAGAACAGCAAGTAACTCTGGAATCTGTATTTCTAGGGTTCCAAGGAGGAAGAATGGTAATCTCACCGGCCCTTGGCCGCTGAATGCAGCTCAAACCCTCATCGTCCACAATGCTCCAACTCAGGCCACTGTTGAAATCCCCGTTACCTATTACCAGGTCAGTGCTTTATTTATCTATTATCTTTAATCAGTCTCTGTTTAGTTTGGTTAATTGGGTACTGAATTAGTTGCCTTTTGTTTTGTGCTGTTAAGCATGCGTGTAATGCAATTCTGTTTTCGAAGCTCTAAGCTAAGCAATACAAGAAGGGTGAGCTTGTGTATGGACTAAATTATTCACTCTTGCCATTTGTTTTGAATTTACTTGTGGCTATTCAGCCCAGTTGATGAATTGCAGTAAAGCTCTGGTGTGAACTATGTTTTTTTTTATTTCAACTTGCCCATATGGGGCAATTCCATGTCTTTGGTCACGTGTCACAAAAATTCATATTTGCAAAAAGGTTATTATGTTGTAAAAATAAGGATTTGGATGCCATTAGCTAATACCATGAGCTTTAATTTCTTTTACAATTGTGTCATTGCATTTACAGATTGGATGTCTAATTCTGTAGCCTATAATGAAATTATTTAGAGTTTTTAGATTCAGTGTGCTCCTATCATAGGTTTGTAAATTGATGTTTTTTCTGGCTACGTTTATAATTTCGTTAATTCCTTTTCCCCTATTTCCCATATTCTGTGTTCCTCTGCAGTTATGCGTGCAACAGAGTGAGCTTGAATTGTTGAGCAGCCATCCTTATAGTAGTTCTCAGAGTCTATATAGCATATGAAATTTGTGTAATGTTTACTCGTGGGAACATGATTATGAAATGCATCGTTGTGATAACATATCCATATTTTCTAAACTTTCTTATTATTCTGCATTTAGTAACGTAATGCCACAGAATCAACTTGCAGCTTATTGGTGTTCCCGATCAAGCTGAGAAAGATGAGGTTGTTAAATCAGTAATGGATTTGAAGACTGCTCAAATGGATGATGGTTACACCATAGATGCTGTTAAATCTCGCCAGGTAGAGTAGAATAGGGACTTGACAGCTATTTCGTTGTAAATCTTATTAAATCCTAAAATTAAATTTTCTTCCTAACGTCTTAATTTCTTTTAATTTGTTCTCCTCTTTTCGGTTTCTTTCCAGGATCTCTTAATGGATGTGAGAGAAAAGCTTATTTTTGGACCAGAATATTCTGGTAATTATAAGGGAAAGATCCCACCTAAATCTTCCCTTCGAATCCCTTGGGCATGGTTGCCAGCTGTTCTTTGCCTGCTTCAAGAGGTACAGCTATGTTTCGTACGATGCACTTGGTTTAGTGCAGGCTTAGTTTTCAGCTTTCAGTTCTTGGTTTGAATATATATAATTATTTAACTAATTTTTCATTTGAGTTAAAGAAACATTCTTAAACACTTGTTGAATAGTGATTAAAGTCTATTCGGAAATTGATTTAGTGTAGTTTGTAGTGAAACTCATCTTGAAACCTTGAATTTGAGTGTGAAATGTATCCTCCCATTTCTAATGTTATAGAAATTTTGCATCCTGTTTTTACTAAAAAACAAAAGAACATTTATGGTTTTGTAAGATTGACATCACTAGATTTCTCCAATCCAGGTTGGTGAAGTAAAGCTTGTGCAAGATATTGGTCAGGCAGCTGTTCGGCATCCAGATGCCAAGCCATATATTCACGATCTTCTTCTTTCTATGGCACTAGCTGAGGTAAGGAATTTCAGAAAGAGGTCAGGATCTTGTACCATCCTTTTTGTTGCAGCCTCCTTTTCTTATCTTAGGTGCTTTTTTGAAGTGCGCAACTGCAAAGATTGGTTTTGAAAAGAACAAGGTGTCCCAAGGATTTGAAGCTCTTGCTCGTGCTCAGTGTCTTCTAAGGAGTAAAAAGTCTCTTGAGAAAATATCATTGTTATCTCAGGTAATGGTCACAACTTCTATATGCTTTTCCATGTTTTTTTTCAAGTATCTAACGATTTAACAAGGCATTTGTCAGTTCAGTCTACTCTATGCTGGTCCGTTGCCCCAAAACAAGAGAAAAGAGAGTTGTGTAGCTTGTTCTATTTTGTTAACTTCAGTGCTTGTAATACTGTTGTGCAGATTGACAAAGCTAAAGCTATATGTGAGTGTCTTATTGCATCAGAAGGTCATCTGAAAATTGCGGAATCTTTTTGCCTGTTTCTTCTTGGTCAGGTATGTTTCTCACTTTCCTCCAAATGTTATATTTTTCACTGTTTCATTGAATTATTTTTGGTATCATGCAAAAGCTATGAATTTCCTTTTGTTTTTTCAAATTCTCCCTTGTGCTTTCTCAATTGAATACTCAGTGATATATTGGCTTCCAGGGTAATGAGGCTGAAATTGTTGAAAAGCTTCAGAAGCTTGATGTGAACAAAAATAAGTTAATACAGTCTCTATGTAAACAAGGAAACCTCAGAGAAGCCCTGCAATTCCTCCCACACGAGCCCAACCCGTCCCAACAGACCTATGAAATCTTAATACTCTCTTGCACCCGCCATAAATCTCTCTCTGATGGGCTTGACGTGCATCGCCACCTTGTAGACGGTGGGTGGGACCAAGACCCTTTTCTGGCTACCAAACTCATAGAGATGTACTCAGAATTGGACTCTATTGACAATGCACGTAAAGTGTTTGATAAAACTCGTAAAAGAACTATTTATATGTGGAACGCACTCTTCAGAGCACTTACGTTGGCAGGTCATGGAACTGAGGTGCTAGATTTGTATCAACGAATGAATACACTTGGGGTTTCATCTGATCGTTTTACTTATACGTATGTAATCAAAGCTTGTGTTGTCTCAGAGTGTTTGAGTTCATTCCTCCAGAAAGGGAAGGAGATTCATGGACATATTTTGCGGCATGGATATGGGGCACATGTTCATGTTATGACCACTTTGTTGGATATGTATGCGAGGTTCGGGTGTGTTTCTTATGCCAGTAGTGTGTTTGATCAAATGCAGATTAGAAATGTAGTTTCATGGAGTGCTATGATTGCGTGCTATGCAAAGAATGGGAGGCCTTATGAAGCCTTGGAACTGTTTCGGGAAATGATACTTGAGGCCCATG